CTCAAAAGTGCACGAGAAACGGTTGGAGATTATCGAAATCGTATCAGAATGCACTCAGAGCTAAAGGATTAGGTGAAGTCAACACTCATAGCGACGAGAAGAACGTGAAGTGAAAGGCGCAGATAAGTAGCGCGTCTGATTGTGGTTACGGAGTGACTGAGCGCGGGCGGAATGTAGAGACGGCACCCGGGTATCAATACCCTCTATTCCCGCTTCCGGCGCACGTATGACCAGAGAAAGTGACACGCTAATGCAGCTACGGACCCATTCACATAACACATGCCATGGCTCTGAGTGTACAGGTTTTGCTTAAGGCAGCGTTCATACTTTGCGACGGTAGCGCTTCAGTGGCGCGTTCGACGCGATCGATGCAGTCGAAAGCATGCGCATCGATCGCGCCACGGTTACGCTTGCGCAGCTGGATTACAGAAGAATGCTCGCCAAGGAACACATGGAAATTGATCGACTCCGATCCTTCTATACAGCATATTCCTCGGTAGGAGTGTCGATCCACCTGATCAATGAGCGCTCATCTTTCTAGTCTCGAGCGAAAAGTAAAAAAAATGAACCCCACATTCAACGTCAAGTAACCCCGAGGGACAACCTATTAGAACGTAAAAGATCTAATATCACTGAACCACTACCAACACAATTTTGATAGGAACAAGTTCTACACGCTCGACTATCCGGAATTATCGATGAAAAACATTTTTGGAAAAGTGCATTGAAATCAATGCATACGGTTTCAATGAGATAAAAACAGGTCATACGAAAAAGGGGCTGGTAATTAGAAGCAAAGAAAAACAAACATTGGGAAAGGAATACACTCCAAAGCACAGATGATCCGTTTCGCTCGGTATCGCAGACGAATCATCATTGTCTAGCCAACCCCCAGGCTCGTCAGTGCGACAGGTTGACGACATGAGGACATGGACCACATAGGGGAAGGAGTTGAGAAATAGGATAAAACGAGAGAAAATATGAAAAAAGGTTCACATGCAAAATTCATGCAATCAAGATGAGGAGGAGTTGTGTAGAAAAATGAAAGAAGGACATAACTGGATTTGAGTATTGAAGTTGAGTTTTGAGTATTGCGTGTAAGAGGTAGGAAAAAGGATTGTCATTAAAAGGCTAAACCCACTGAGAGAATATTGAGTATAAAACACTGTGGAAGCGATCTACAAAAAGTTAAGTAAAAAAAATTCAGTGGTAAGAGGGGAATCCGTGTTGAACACCGCTGCCAGTGAGAATGGTAATAGTAAGAGAATGTAGAATGGTATTACCTTATTTTCCGTCGAGTTTTGACCGAGCACATCACCAGGAGCCCATTCGAGATACAACGGTTGAGTGCGGAAACGAGAATACGCCAGTGCTTGGAAGGCTTTCTTTGCATCAACGGGGTTATTCATCACAACGAGTGCACTGATGCCTCCTTCTGCAATGGTAATTCAGTTAAGAAAAAAGAAGTAGACCATCTCCAGAACCAGAAAACAACTCGAAAGGTTGGGAACTATCGAGGCATTGGTTTCGCTTTTCATATTTTACTATTAGAGAATGCTTCCATACTTTACTTTGACCATGAGCGTTACAGCTAATTGAAGACCTGACGGGCCAATTTTCTTGTTTTACACACACTCGACGCGATGGTGCCTGTGAAGGGCGTGTCCACGTTAGCGCGGCGTTGTAACGGTTTAGAAGCACCCGACGACGGAATCGGTAAGCATTCTGCACCGCCTTTTACGCACTATTCAGGTATCTGCCCTGAATACACATTACTCCAAAAACATACAACGCCGCAGCGCTCACGCTTGAATCCGCAGACAAGCCTTCTTCAAGCATCGTGATTCGGTTTGGATTGCCAGCAATGGTTCGAAAAAGTATGCAGAACAGCCGAAAGGTATAACAGAAAAATAGCTGTGGAAAAAAACTCACCAGGAGGCATTAAAACTTTGCTCACTTCACCAAACTTCCCAAACATTCGCTGCAGCTCTTCTTCTTGAACTCCAGCCGGCAGATTTTTTGCAATCATAACGGTGTTGCTGGAAAACCACTTCTTCAAGACGCTCTGGTCTCAAAATATGGTTGTTACTGTAGGCACAAAGTGACACAAACCGCAGTGGAGTAGAAAAAAGGTTTCTGCTAAAAAACGATAAAAGCTACATAGATGGAAGCAGAAGCCGGCATCGTGCAAAACAGACACCCAAACTGAACTATTAGGTCAATGTCGTCGGAGACTTACAGCCACTCAATAACATATCCTACACCAGTTGTATGGGGCAGCTCCGGGACTGCCATTTTGCCTTTTCCATTACTGCACCCCTACTCCCCACCTTCTTTCTCAGATGACAAAGTGGTGAAGTCATGCTAATAAGGAACGCACAACGATCGGTCGGACTGCATATCTTTAACTTTTTAATTTCAAACTTCTTAGCACTGTTTTGACTTCAAAGTTCTTAGCACTGCTCAGGGAAGACTGCTGCGACAGCCTGAATAGGTTGCAAAAAGATAAAAAACCCAACGGGGAGGGGGGATGAGTTGAAATCTGGCACATTCGCTAGTCCCTGTTAACATACTCCCATCACCCTGGTGAGACCTGTAGCTCTTGTCAAGTGTAAACCAAGCTTATGCTGCCGCACGGCTTTACAGAAGTTGTGACAGGTCTCCACAGAAGCCATCGGCAGTGATCGACAGGACCCGCGAAATACCCACACCAAGCAGATTTACGGGGATAATTTGAACGGCACAAAATTGCTCACCTTCTTTTCGCAGCAGGTCGAGAAAACGCGTCTAGACAAACGCCATTTGCTATGAAGAACTCTCTCGTCTTCACGAACCAGTCTGGTTTCAGCTAAAGCCAGACGGACTCCAGCACTAAAATCATCGACTTATGTAGTAGTACTTTATATAACTGATGCCTTACCTCTCTCCACCTTCCGAATTCAGCAGATCACCCTTTTCAACACCGAGTTTTTCCGCTAAAGTGTCAGCGATTGCGTTGGGTCCAAGAAACAACGCATTCCATGAATGGGACTGAAACCACAAATTCACCTTTGAGAAATGTACTGGTTCTTGAACCGACACTGGTTCTTGAAAGCATATTACGCGGTAAGCAGAAAGGCGGGCGGAGACAGAAAACTATTGCCTACATTACAATACCAATCCTTCTGAAAATGTAAGGAGAAACGGCACGTTAAAAGCAGAGTAGGGTTTTCGCCCTCGAGCTCAGGTCAGCACGGAATGCATCCTCTATAAGTGCATTGCGCACACAACTGAATAAAAAAACCAAACCTTTGCCGCGTTTGCTTTCAGCTTCGACAGTTTCTCCTTTTTATAACGGAGTCTTTCCAGATGACTCTGTTTTCTCCGGTTCCTTCTTTTCACGTTTTTCCGAACCAGGGAGAATGTGCATCATGCGGCCCTTAAACACGACAGCTTTTCCGGTTCATTAGCCAGTAGAAGGAAAGAAGTAGAAACCTTGAAAATGGTTCCATCCGCAGCGGCATACGCTGCAACAGCAGATTCCGGGAACACAAATTCCACAATGGCGAATCCTTTACACTTGCCAGTTTTCTTATCGATTATTACCTACAGCAAGCATGCTGCCATCTTCAACTGTTTGAATATACACTTCGATAATACGAGAGATAATACCT